ATTCTATATAATATAGTCAATGATGTTAATCAATATTCAGAACCCCTAAAAATGGTAACACTTTTAACTGCGGTAGTAACAGCTGGTAAAGGGAAAACTACATTTGCTTGACGAGTATATGATAATCCAGTAATTTACTCTGATATCGTGAGATGTATTAAAAAAGGTCAAAATTGATCAATTTGGAGATTTTATGGAAGTGCTGAGGCAACCTTTGAAACAATACTGTTGTATGAAGCTTTAAAATACAAATTGTCGTAAGATTTAATATATTATATTGTCATTTATGTACTAAGCTTGTATCATCATGATAATTATATTATTATTTTTAAATTCTTTCAGTGATAAGATAAATTATTACATGCTCAGAAACTTGTTTGAAAATAATATTACCCTCGAAGATATTGTTAATGTGATTATGCATTATACGGATGCGAATCAAAAATCATTTTTTATTATAAATATTGATGAAACTAATGCGTTGTTCGATAAGAACAATGATAATATATGGCTTAAGGGTGTTTTTCAGACCATTGCAAGCAGAAATATTTTCTTTTTGTTGTATTGACTAGGACCCATGCAAGAGAACTGTTTAAAACAGTAAAGTCAAGCAGTGCAAAATTCAATGATATATCTTTACCACTACTCAAACCAGGCATGCTGAGGAAATCATAATTGAGTTGGCTAACCGAAAGGTGGTTTTACTACAAACATTATGATCTATTACTTGTTTATCTATAATAACCATATTAATTTTAATCAGGTATCTTTTCAGATAAATGAAAGGAGGTGGGTATAATTATATACTGCATATTGCAAGACCGAAATGTGTAATGATTAACATCGGCTATATTAAATAGAATTTAATGTTAGGGTTAGATTGAGAGAAGTTAAAAGTGAATTTAAGGCACCAATAGCGGTTTTATAGGCAAAATTTTGAATGAAACCCTTTTTTTTTGATCAACCTGTCACACATTTCAGTTGTGCCTGAAATATTTTAACTATGTTTATAATAATCACTTTAAATTCTTGATTTTAGGCTTACTGAAACCTCTCATTATTTAAAATATATATTGACTTCTTGGTGTTGTCAGTCGTTTCCTTGAGGCCATGATCTTTGAGATGGGTGTTATTGGTTCTGCCGCTGCTTTTAAGACAACCACTTATGATTCTAAATTTCATCAAAATGGATTATGTCACTTCTTAGAGTACTGCCAACATAAACCAGAATGTTGCCAAGTATTCCTTAAAAGAACAAAGAAACACATCAGTAGAAAATATAATCATTATTTTAAACATTTTGCCGAAACAAATAATCTTGAACTCATCCCTTCTCTGGTCGCATACACATTGCTTGGGTGGCCTGTTGAACGAACGGACGAAATTGGTGTTAATATGAAGCATAAAGTTGAGGTAAGTGTTAAAATCTTGATATTTACATTTCCTAAATGAACTTTAAAATTTTTATTATATTAATAGGATTTGGAAAAAGAAGAGATTATTTTTCTCGATGGAAATAAGATTAAGCTTCCGTTTATCACACTTCACGAAATTTATTATTCTCATAGAAATTCTCTATGTCCTTTTATTGTATATCCTCTAGTTTTTGGCATTGTGGTCTTTGAATGTAGTTGAAACGCTGAAATCCAC